AAAGATCAAAATGTAAAACTATACCAATTTTTAAGGCATGATTTTAAGGAAACGGTTCATCTGATGGAAAATTTCACTTTAACCTTTTTGTAGAGAATTTAATTTTCTTAAAAAAATATTTTTGAGTCATTTTTGTTAAACTCAATGGTTTGGGAGTTCTGAGACAAAAACTTGCTGAGGAAAAAAAAAATTAAAATTGCGATGATAGACCTCTTAATATTAATATTATCAACTCAAACTTTCCGTATTTCCGTACTAACCATATTTTCTATATACTAAATGATTGAATTTTTTGGCCCAGTCTAATATATATATATATATAGACCTAATAACAAAGAAGTTATAGGCTATTTTTGTTGAAGGCGTAAAATTTTTACGAAATCTATTGAGTTTAGGTATAGGGAATGTTATATAAATAATATTAGGAATAACGTATAAAATTTAAAAATATACAGGGTGTTCTATTTTAAATAACAAGGTTGATGTCACTTGCGGTGAAACTGGAAGTGGAATTTTGTTCAAAATAATTTTGGAAAATAGATTTAGCCAGATTACCCTGTATATATATATATATATATATTCAAATAAAAAAATGGTGTCAATGTATAGGTCCAACAAAATAGGACAATTTATTATGCTATTTTTGTCAGATACTGTAGATAAGTTTATATTAAGAAAAAACACTCACCTTTTCCTTCTTTTGGAGGGACCATTTTTGACAGAGTCTTTTTTATTCAAAACTCCACTGTCGGACCTACAAAAACATTAAATTTTACATTACCATTACCACACAAAATAAAAAATATCTCACCCTGCTTTATCAGCATTTTCATATTTAACCTCATGATATTCAACTTCGATTTTCGTCTCAAACATGGCTTTATCCTCATCTTTTTCTTCATCCTCATTACCAAGGGAATTTGTGTCATCTCCTTCAGAAAAATCATTATCCCTTTCTTCTATCTTAATATTGCATAAGGAATGTTCACTTTCATCACAATTGCCACTTTCATCACTATCGTCGATTTTAGATCTAAAATTGAAATAAATATATTTTTTTTTAAGTCAAAAAATAGCATGGTATGTATTTGGTATGTATTTTAATTAAAAACATAAACTTGCGTTGAAAATTCTTACTCGCCCCGATTTTATTCGTCGGTTATATTTGTTTCTTTCAACTTCTTCATCTTCAGGAGTGTATGAAGAATCTTCATCAGCAGAAAAGTCACTTTCTTTATCGCTACTATCATCAACTCTAAAATTATATAATTAAATATATAGTTTGTTTGAAATAAACTAGGTATTTTTTTATGAAGTTGTTAATAAATTGTAAAAATAGTATATTATTTATCAAGTTTGATAAACGCCACTTTATACACGAATTTAATTTACTTATTATTATCTTAAAATGATTTAAATAAAAAATGTGTATAGAGCGCCATCTATGAAACAATAGGGGAATCTGTGTGTCACCGTCAAATGTCACATTTTTAAATTTTATAAACACAGATTATTAAGGTTATAAATCGAAATGTATTTCTTGAAAATTGTCAGTTTTTCACAGTGAAAGTAAAGAAGATGTTTTATGAGGACTTTACAGTGGAGTCCGTGCCCGAATTTAAGTTATAGTTTACTGCCGGCGAAATTAAAAGGTTAGTACAATGTTCATATAAACTTTTCAAATATTGGCGTTGAGAAACTATTTAATACTTTTTTTTTTGTATTGAGATAATAAAATAATTTTCACATTTAGTATTATTTTACAAGAAAGGCACTTTATTTTAACGATTGTATGACATTTGACAACTGTCAACTAACTTAAAACTAACTTCAGCCTGTGACTAAAAACCTGTTGCTAACTTCAGCCCGTGACTAAAGCGCCATAAAGCCACAACTTGTCAATGTGTATTTAAAAGGTCACTTAGTGAAGGCAGAAGTCTTACCCGACAAATTTTGTTCAATTGCACAGCTAAATCGCGCACGTTATTTGTGTTTTACGTTGCAAGGAAAAAATTAAAAAACTTTTTTAGTACTCAATTTCGATTGATTATTTCTTATATCACTAAGAAATTCAACGCTTAAATGCTTATATAGTTACGTTAGTGTGTGTATTTTATCTAAGGGATCATGATGAATTATTGTGTTTTTAATTGCAAATAAAATTCAAGAACTAAATCGTTGCATTTTCATGTTTTGCCAAAGGATCCAATTCGGTAAGTACATTTGTTGGCGCAGAATTAACTAATAATAACTTTACCTAATATAATTTATATTTAAGTTTGGACATTTTTAAGAAATTAGTAAAAGATAATTTGTTGCACAAACATAACCTTAAAATCAACCATTTTTATATTTGAGTTCTCTAAAAAACGCCGACAACTGCATTTTAACAAAAACAAAATATACCTACGAATTCATGGCAACATAATATTATATACAGGGTGTCCTATAATTAGCGTGCAAGCAGATTCTACGCAAAAGAATAAAAAAAAGTTCCTATAAAAATAGGTCGAGAGCTACGGCCCCCGAAAGATGGTTTTTATTTAATATCTCCAAAACTGTTTAAGAGAGAAAAGTGAAATGATAAAAAGAACCGTTACGAATACTTGAAAACGGCAACACTGTGGACAACGAACGCTCCAAAAGAAGTATAACCTCAAAAATGATAGTCTAATAAAATGTAATAAAATTAAAATTACTCACATTGTGACGACTTCTTTTCTACTCCTTCTGGATCTTCTAACTTTATGATTTTTCGCTTCACTTTTTAAATTCTCTTTGTTTTTTTCATCATTTTCAGATGTGGATGAATCCTTGCCATGATCATCCTCATCGACGTCTGTAGTATCAGTTGCTTCATTTTCCTTATAACTTTCTTCAACTGCAGTCCTAAAATTGAATTTATACAGGGTGGTATTATTATTATTATAATTAAACAACAAATTTATGTGGGTAAAAAATTGTTAAAAAATAAATAAATTTATTCTGTTCCTTTTAAAATTAAATCAACCCAAACATTTAACAATATTTTACTTACTCAACCCAACAATCTTTTCCACATTCTTTATTACTATTTCCTTCAATATTTTTTGGTTCAACAGAACTTTGTTCTTTTCCAGATAAGTTAATTAGAGTGTCCACAAGCAAATGATTTTTCTTTTCTACATTGATAGAGTCTATGAGGTAAATACTATCCTCTGTGACAAAGTCATCGAATAAATGTACCTCTTCCTCTTCCATGGGATTATTTACTGCAAAAAATTAAAACATTAAGAATCAATTGCAAGTGACCAAAAATTGCTATTTTAATTTAAGGCATAGCAAAGAACATATTTTCTACTTTCAAATATTCAGTAAACACAAACCACATATTAAGTTAATTATATGATGTTAACCTCAAAATGTAGATACCTACACATATATTTATTAATAATAAAGTACATTACCATTTATAATATAATATATTATGATTTATTTATAGTATAATTTATATAAGGTAAAACTATTTTAAAATTATAAACCAAACAAATTTAAGAAAATATTCATTTCCAAAAAAACAAATAAATTATTCCTCTTAAAGGGTTGAGTCAAAGACCTGTTCTGTCACAGAACTTCTGTGGTCAAGGCCAACCCATCATGTCTTTCAATTAGAGACCGGATTCCATGCAATAATATATTGGGTATTGTGCGATATTTCAAATCCGTTTACGGAAAAAAACGGGTAGGTAATATTGAACTGCTGTGCGAATTTATCCTACCATTTTTAAAATTCATCCCACTGTAAAATTTTGGTTATTTTGAAATTTTTAAAATTTTTGAGGTTTTGTCAATTTTAAAATTTTGAAAACTGATTATTAATTTTAAGATTTTTGTATGCCGTTTCCAAAAAAAAAATTTTGTTAAATATTTTGTTACGAAAACCACATTATTTGGGAAAAAGGGACATCAAATACATACATATGTATATGATTTGGATAAAATTTTGTGTTTACCTATAGGTTGAGAAATTTTGTTTTATTTTTTTTTATTTACAATAATTCTCGTATTAAATTACATTGTAAATTAATAGGATAATTATAGAAAATTAAAAAAATATATATTTTCCAACCTAATTAAAAAGTCGCTGTAAATTTTACAATAATTATTATTCTCGTATTAACTTTGATAAAGAACCAGGCGCCACTGATAGTTATGTATGCTTAAATCTGCTTTATTAGCTTGGCCCTTGGACTCATGATACAAAGACAAAGATTATGGCTTGGACTGCCTCGTATCAACTGTAGAACGGAACTTACCCGAAATCGATTGGTCTGGTCAAAAATATTATTTTTGATACAGAATTTGTAGGTTCTTTTGCGTGATTGCAATTTATGGTGTAGGTACCTACTTTGTTTAATCCATGAAGGTGGCACAGTGTTATTAATTATTTTTTTACTTTTTGCTATAGAATCTATCTACACTCAGAGAAATATCATGTCATGAAAATCATATGAAATTATATTAATTTAAATAATCGGGTAAATTTGATTGAAATAAAAAAAATTGTAGTTTTATATTCATTTACACTTTTACAGTGTACCCTCTTTAAAACATATATATATATATATATATATAAAAAGAAATCTATTTTTTTCATTGCCTTTCTCAACGTTGTTTCAAAAAGATAATATCATATACACCTATTAATTTAATGGGACACAGTAGTATAGATAGTATACAAAAATACTTTCTACCAGTTTCCAACCAACTTTCAACTTCGAAAAGAGGTAAGCCAATTATTGTTTAATAAAAATTAAACAATTAAACTTAAAAAAGGCATGAAATTACTTTGTAGGCTACAAATTTTAGCGACAAAGTAGCGATTCTCAGGGCGGCCGGTAGAGATTTTCAATCTGGTCTACCTGGCAACAGTGGATTTCAGTTACATATGGCAATGTTGCCCAGCAACTGCTGGTGGTTCCCCCATTTCCCACTTCGTAGAATTTAAATGTTAATACGTGGCTACATCAATTCATTGATAACATTACACAGAGACTACTCTGTGTAACATTCTTTTATCTTCAATATTCGTGGGCTGCGTATACAATGGAGTAAGTATTTTAAATGTTTTATTTGGGTATAATGATTTTGTTTGTTTTTAAGGTCCTATTTGAAAATTATTGGCATTATTGGATTGTCGAGTTACTTAATATTTGAGGGCATTGACATTATTGTATTGGTATTGTTGAGTTACTTATTATTTAAGGACAATACATTATTTTTATTTTTATTAACATTCTTTTATATTCAAGATTCGTGGGCTGCGTATAGAATGATGTAAGTATTTTAAATGTTTTATTTGGGTATGATTTTGTTTGTTTTTAAGGTCCTATTTGAAAATTATTGGCATTATTGGATTGTCGAGTTACTTAATATTTGAGGGCAATACATTATTTTTATTATTATTATTTTATTTATTTCTTAAGGATTTCTTAAAGCGTTGGGATCAAAGGTGCTTTGGGGAGTACGAATGCCCTGAATGTAGGCGAATATGGATGTCATCTTATTCTTGGTCTAATATTGGGCAAGAATGCTTCAACTGTCATATAAATGTTTTACCACATAACCAGGTAAAAAAATAATATCATAAAAATGCATTAATAGTTAGATGGATGGTTGGGCAATAGACCTATCCCATAAAATGGACTTTTGGATAGCGCGTGCGTGAAAAGGCAGGTCGTCTTTTTTTAATTATATAAAAGAGAAAGAGATACCACTCTTCTTCAGGCACGCGCTATCCAAAAGTCTGTTTTATGAGATAGGTCTATTACTAATGTTTTTACAAGCATTTATAAAAGAAGTTTATTGAAATCCGTTAAAAAATAACGAAGCTGTTTGACATATCCCCATAGGGGAGTTCAAGTGAAAAACTGTTGAAAAAATATAAGACAATAGTTATTTTTTTATTAAAATTCAAGTCAAAATAATATAAAGTATCATCATCATCCATCAATTTTGCATTTTTTACAATACGTCGCTTGGAAGCAGGGTGTTGACAGTAGGTGCCAACCCGTTAAATAAAAATTGCCCTAAAGTAGCCGCATTATCACCCTAACCATTTTTATGTAGATTTACATTAAGAAGATTATTTATTAAATATTAGGATTATAATCTTCTTAATTTACATGAAAAACTAATTTTTATGTTTTATTGTAGCGTCCTCTGGACATTAATAGAGCACCCTCGGGATTTTGGTCAAAAATTCAAAGAAATTTGTTATTGCTGCCGAGAATAATATTATATTATTATATTCCAATAATAATATATATAATTATTTATTTTATAAATTTTCTCTTCTAATTTTAGATGTTATTGTATCGAAAAAAACACCTTTAATAGGATTTTTTTTATTTACCCAAATTAATTAACATACTGATCAGGATACTGTGTATCCTGCATACTGATATAAATAAACATTACATAACACCATATTAAATTTAAATATCCCAGAATTCATCCTATTGGTCCATTCAAGGTTTGATAACACAGATCGCTGTAATACCGACACTGTCATGGACATGCCAAGTCAAAAGTATGGTTATTTTTAAACGAAATTAACGAATTTGAACCGAAATACTTGGAGAAAACACTAAATTTACGATGAAGCAAGTATTTTAGATGTTTTTAGTTCAATTTGTGATAATTTTGTTTGTTTTAAGGCCCCTTATTAAAACTGTTGCTTTGACTGTGGGTTTTACCATTTTTGGATTGTCCAGCTACCTATTTTATTTGGTATTTCTTAAGGATGAGGACGACGATTACGAACAAACCGTGTCTAAGGCTTCGAACTTCAAAACCCACGAAGTTAAGGTCCCTCAGGATCAAGTCAAGGTTCTAATTGGGCGAAATGGTCAAAATATCAAAAGAATTCAAGATCAGTCGAGTACAAGGATAAATTTCAAGGATAGAGAGGGTTTTGACGACAAAATCTGCATAATAAGAGGTTCTTTAGAGTCTTGTAATGTAGCTGAAAACTTAATAAGGGATTTTATTAAAAGTCAACCTGTTATGGACTGTGAAGACATTTGGGTGCCTATTAGTTCAGTAGGGAAGATTATAGGGCGTAATGGGGATAAAATTGTGGAAATTCGCAGCCAATCCGGGGCTAAAATCAACGTAATGGACGAGGATAAAGACTTAAACAATAAACGGATAACGATTAAAGGCACTATGGAGCAAATATTGGTAGCAAAATCATTGATTGAGGATATTGTTGAACACACTATTGAAATGCAGACCAAAATGAATAACATCCTCGCTAAACGCGAACCGAGGGGCCCCTCCAGGGTCGCACATAACTCCAATTCGACAGAGGCCCCAAAAAAAGAAAAACTGCCTGAAACTCAGCCCAACACGCAGTTTGAAGTTTACGTTTCTGCTGTCAAAGATCCGTCGCAGTTTTGGGTGCAAATTGTGGGCCCCAAGGCCTCTGAGCTTGATATGCTCGTCGAGGAAATGACCGAGTATTATAATAAGGAGGAAAATAGAAATTTGCATTTACTCGATGAGATAAAGGCGGGCGATTTGGTTGCAGGGATATTTCAGTATGACAACAAATGGTAAGTTTATTTATTAAAAAAATCATAGTGGATTTTTTAAATGTTGGGTGCCAATTTGTTAAAATCGTAACTTTGTCATTTCTGAAGCTATTTTTATAGTAAAAAAATGCAGATTTAAAAAAAACTTGTACAATTTTTTAGGTACAGAGCTGAGGTCATTAGTGTTGACGATAAAACTAAATCGGCCGATTTGTACTATGTGGACTATGGAGACACTGATACAGTTCACAGCAAGGAAATATACGAATTACGCACTGACTTTTTAAGCTTGAACTTCCAGGCCATCCAATGTCACCTATCCAGAGTTGGTGTGTATACATAGAAATGAAAGTTATATTTGTGTATTTTAAATTGTTAATTTTATAGCTCCAGTGGGTGAAAATTGGTCATTAGAAGCAATAGATAAATTCGAAGAATGGACACACACAGCTCAATGGAAAAAACTATCAGCCAGAATCAGTGGGTATACCAGCGCAGAAAAATCCAGGAACAAAAGAAGCTCTTCACCCATACCATCAGTGGAAATATTCAATGTAAACGACGGTACCGATATGAATGTAGGTGAAGAATTAATAAAAAACGGTTATGCAGTTCTAAAACCTGAAGCAGACTCACATAACCTCACTAAAGAACCCCAGTTTCAAAACGAGTTGTTCACACAATCAGCCAAAACATCTTGGGTGTGATTTTGATGCCATACATTTCTATAGATCAATGTTAAATCATACATTTTCGTTTAATAGTAGTTGAAAGTTGTAAATAATTACTTTTTAATTTCATTTTTAGTATTTTTCATAGGAATTACTTTTTAAGTTTGTGATATTTTTAATAAAAGTAACCAAGTTTACAATAAACCACATACCTTGTTTTCTTTGATAACCCTACAACCTTTGAATCACTTTATATTTTACGTTTGTTCTGTGTTTTTACGTTAAAAAAATTCAAATTGTAAAATCATGTCAACAAGCCATATTGTGATATTAAAGGTTCCTGTAATAAATAGTTAGTTTGATAAACATACAAAAGATGTCAGGGTATGCAAAATTACTTATTTACTAAAAATAGGCAAAAATTAAGCATACCATTTGCATAATCGTTACAAAAATTGTTAAAAAAACGTTTGTAATGCTTAAAAAATGCAAAAACTGCAGGAAAACGGCCTCATTCGCATAAAATCCCATTTACACTATTGCCACATTCACTTTGACATTTGAGCGATTTATTTAAATTTTTGAATATAAACCCACGATAACAATGTGATATAATACGGTCTACTATGTTGATGATATAATGGATAAAATATATTAACAAATAGTTTTTTTGAGGAAGTTTTTTAATTTGACGTTTTTTTGTGTTTTTCAACGTTTGGCAACATTCTTCCGGCATTTGGCGGGACAAGCGTCATAAGGCAGTCGGTGATAACCGTGTTTTTTGGAGTTTTTATACGTTTTTAAGTGGTTCTGAAGTAAAAATGGGAGATAAAGGAGACGCAGGTATGTAGATAAACTAAAATCCAGCATCAATTTATCCAAATTAGACTGTGAAAACTGTATGTTGCTTTTGTTATACCTTGACTATTGTCTGGGGGTTTTACTACGTTTTTTGGTGTGTATTCATGTTAATAAGTTAAACCTTGCGTCCGCAGAGACTTTCGACGATGCGGTGGAAGAAAGGGTGATCAACGAAGAGTACAAAATATGGAAAAAAAACACACCGTTTTTGTACGATTTGGTGATGACCCACGCGTTAGAATGGCCCTCGCTGACAGCCCAATGGTTGCCCGACGTGACCCGACCCGACGGCAAAGACCACTCCATCCACCGACTGATCCTGGGCACGCACACCTCAGACGAGCAGAACCACCTCTTGATAGCCTCCGTGCAGCTGCCCAACGAAGACGCGCAGTTCGACGCCTCGCACTACGACAACGAGAAGGGCGAGTTCGGCGGGTTCGGTTCCGTGTCCGGCAAAATCGAGATCGAGATCAAAATCAACCACGAGGGGGAGGTGAATAGGGCGCGGTACATGCCGCAAAACCCGTGCGTAATCGCGACCAAAACCCCGTCCAGCGACGTGCTGGTGTTCGATTACACCAAGCACCCCAGCAAGCCCGACCCCAACGGCGAGTGCTTCCCGGATTTGAGGTTACGGGGGCACCAGAAGGAGGGTTACGGGTTGTCGTGGAATCCTAACCTCAACGGTTACCTGCTGTCCGCCTCGGATGATCACACGATTTGTTTGTGGGACATAAACGCGAACCCCAAGGATAACCGAGTTATAGACGCGAAAACTATTTTCACTGGGCATACGGCTGTGGTGGAGGATGTGGCTTGGCATTTGCTGCACGAATCTCTCTTTGGAAGTGTGGCCGATGATCAAAAGTTGATGATTTGGGATACGCGTTGCAACAACACTTCCAAACCCTCCCACACGGTGGACGCCCACACAGCCGAGGTGAACTGCCTTTCGTTCAACCCATACTCGGAGTTCATCCTGGCCACGGGCTCCGCGGACAAAACGGTCGCGCTGTGGGATTTGCGCAACCTGAAGCTCAAACTGCACAGCTTCGAGTCGCACAAGGACGAGATTTTCCAGGTGCAGTGGAGCCCCCACAACGAGACCATCTTGGCGTCGTCCGGCACCGACAGGAGGTTGCACGTCTGGGATCTGAGCAAGATCGGCGAGGAGCAGAGCACCGAAGACGCGGAGGATGGCCCCCCCGAGTTGCTGTTCATTCACGGGGGACACACCGCCAAGATTTCCGGTAAGTTGTGGCCCCGAAGTTTGCCATTTTCCTCTCGAAATTCCTCGTTGAATAGGTTATTTTTTGATGCTAGATTCTCTTCAAATTGTCAAGTTTTTGTTTTGTTTTAACAGGGTGTCTTGATAATTTAATTAAATTGCTTGTATTATCCATAAAATTTCGTTAATTGAGTTTCTTTGTTTAAAAGTTGTTTGATTGGTCATAATTGGGTTTCATTTGGGATCTGAGAGTGCTACTGGGAGGGCGTCACACGAGAATCGTTTCATGAAAGATTGTCTGCCCTTGTAATTTTTCTCTGATAAAGTTTTAATAGTCTTACTTTATGTTAAAAAGTCTGAATAATACTTATTAAGACTTTTTAAAACTTAATAATACTTTTAGCAGAGAAATGCGATTAAAATAAATATCCGGAATTATTCAGAGATGTTGTATTTGTTTATTGCAAAAGAAAGCACAATGGAAAGGATTTATAAACACTGTTTTTGTGTTGTTATGAGGCTTATAAAAACACGGAAGCAATGTTTACAATATAGGTATACAAACTTTATTTTAATTGAACAGAATAAAGCCTGAATTGTAGATTGCCTTCCTTCCTTCCTCCCGTAGTCGTGCCCGTACGATTTGTGCGTCTTCTAAAAAGTCAATTTATAGATTTCCGTGTAAAATTCCGTAACCATGTGCGATGACACCTAAAATGGTTGACATTTGTTTTTGTTTATATTCTGCGTTTTACCCTTTGTGTGTAAATATAAAAGATATTATATATTAGTGCAGTGATCACAATTTTAATTGCCCAGGCGGCTTGTTGTATACTGCCCTACTATGGAGAAAGGCAGTAACTGCTTAACAAGAAATTTGTGGGAAATTAGCATAAACTACATTTTTATAAAAAGCAGTAGGTATTTAACTGATTTATTTAACTTATAAGATAGTTTACTGCATTTCTTTGTTGAATTAAGATACAAAATGTCCATAGCTTTATCATAGCACAAGAAAACGCATTTGTAGTTACTGCCTTTCTACATAGTAGGGCAGTATAATGAAAAAAAAAACATCGAACAAGACGTTGGAAGACTCGCCCACTTTACCAAGACCGGGAAACTACGGGGTTTTACAAAGCAACGTTTCTAAAAATGAAAGACATTGATCATAAATATTATCTAAATATCCTATTTAAAGACACAAATTATTTAATAAACACCTATCTAAAATAATACTAAACAATCATGTATTTTAAATTTTTTGTGCCTACGCGCTGTCACCCTACAGCGCATGTCCATAACAAGCACTGTGACTGGTCATGTCAAAGACCTTTAAGGTGAAAGATAAAACTTAAAAATTTCTACGGGAGGAAGGAATGCAGTCCTTACGGTTATGGAATCTATAAATGGCACTATGATTTAAATAAAAATTTTTGACGTAATTGTCACCATTAACATTGCCTGTTATTAATTTTAATTAAACTTAACAATTATTGATACTTTAAAATATTACAATAACTTTAAAATATGATTTTTTTAAGAAAATATTTTATCCTTTGATTTTTTTATTACTATAATTGCAAAATATTATCACAAAGTATTAAAAATTCTTACACGGGAAATGTTACAATTACGTCAAAAATTTCGTATTGTTCATCTTCTACGGGAGGAAGGAAGGAAGGAAGGCAATCTATAATTCAGGCTTAAAACAGTGCGAGATACGTTTGGTTTGATTACATATATAAGGTATAATAACTAGGGATGCACCGGAATTCCGGCGGTACCACTAAATCCGGCCAGTTGGCCGGAACTACCGTTCCGGCCGGATCGCTCCGGCCGGATCGCTTTCCGGCCGGAATTTTCGGAACTTTTTGGAAATGTTTAAGTTATAAATTTTTAATATAATTTAAATTCAAATATGTGCAAAAATAAAGAAAATTATTTTAAGGTTTTTTTAATTGGTGCCTTCCCGACTTTCGCGTCTGGGATGCCCCGAGTTTCGACCAGATATATTTTGTAATTGGTCAATAGTGAAGGGTGTGCGTGTTTCCTTGCCTATGATACACCGGCGGCTGTGGTTCCCCGACTTTTTTTTTAATTTTTTTATTATTGGCAGTGGCTGCTATTCTCCAATTGAATGAGTAGAATTTCTATCTAGGTAAAATTAATATTAATAAACACTCTGCATACTGTAGCTAGTTTAAAAAAAAATAAAAATAAATCAGCCTCAAATATTTTCAATGTTTTACGTATAAAAATAGGCATGCACATACATTTTAAATTTAGGTCCCGATCCGGCCGGAATTCCGGCGATCCGGTCCGGCCAGCGGCCGAAATTCCGGTTCCGGCCGGATCGGCAAAACACCCGATCCGGTGCATCCCTATTATTAATAACTATAACAATTCTTCGCAACGCATAGGCATGATATTGTCGACAGTCGAACTCATACACAGATTACAAAACTCATAAATCAAATATGGTTGATCTTTGAGCTGCTTTGTTGCGTGTTTTATACAGTGTCGCCGGATGATTGTCATAAAAGTTCCCGACCAAAAATTACAAAATAGGTACTAAAAAAACTAGTTATATTTTAAATTTACCAGCGCGTTCGCCCTGTATTTTAAAAAATAATTAAATTAATTTAAAATTTTTATACAAGTAAATAAAAATGTAACAGGATATCCTATATGATATACATATATATATGTATATAAAATATCTTCAGTTAGTATTTTGTTTGAAATTATATCCGATTTTACCTTGAAAATTCTACCTGCAAACATAACGAAAATACCCGATTTCCGAGTAAAATACCCGCAAACAACACTTGGTAAGTAGTGACAGGAGAGCTATCTTGAAAACGCGGGAAGATGCCATCACATGACTGATCAGCTGTGCTCTAATTGGTCAGCGGAGAAAATCGTGTCTAAAAAGTGTTTGTAACAATGGTTATATGAATATTTGCGTATAAAAAGAAACTATTAAAATAAAACAGTACAGTGGCAACAATAAAAGCAAGTCAAGCGTATAGTATGTAAAAAATTATAATTGTTATAATTATTACACGTCACATATGTTATTATATAGGTAATTATGCAATAAACTTGGCTTATTACCACCCGTGCAAAATGTTAATAAATACTTTTCTTTGTGTTTTATTTTATAATAATCAAATACAACCTCTCTGAAAAATTCCGGATATTTATTTTAATCGCTATTTCTCTGCTAAAAGTCTAATTAACTCTTCTGGAAGACTCCCAAATATTGATATTAGTCTGACTTACTAAGACTTATTCAGACTTTTTCCGACTTAATAAGTATTATTTAGACTTTTTCCGACTTAATATGTATTATTCAGACTTTTTAAGAGAAAGTAAGACTTTAAAAACTCTTATTTTTACTTATTAAAACTTATTCAGAGAAAAATTTCCACAAGGGTGGTAAAAAAATTGTAGTTATTTTCGTTAATATGTTTTAAATGAAGCAAGAATAATCACCAAGTATAATACTAGAAACAAAAATACTATGCACTCGCGTAAAATAAACGTGAAATTCGCGTGCAACTTTCCTTATGCTCTTCCTACTATTGGCATCAAGGGCATTGTAAATAGCTTCTTTATTTTCTCGAAACATGTCTTCTAATTATTTTTTACAGATTTCAGTTGGAACCCCAACGAACCGTGGGTGATATGCTCGGTCTCCGAAGATAATATAATGCAGGTATGGCAAATGGCGGAAAACATCTATAACGATGAGGAACCCGAGCAGCAGGCAAGTGATATCGAAACGGCCGCGAATTAGTCCACATTTTCCACAATTTTCTTTATCGTCGTCTATAATAATTTTTATTTATGTCTTTAGTATTTTTCTTTATAATTGTGACTTCCACATAGTTAGTTATAAATGATCGTTTTTTAATGTGTGTAAGTTAAGTAAGGTACAAAAATAATACAAAAGTAATTGTTCTGCTTTTATTTTGTTAATTTTAAATACAATTTTTATATTTAGGCTGTTTTTTATTTTTTAATTTAACCTTAAAAATTACATTTTTGGGCCTGTAAAATGTTTTTGCAGCCCCTGCCAAACTTTAAAGTAATCTGCATCCAACTTTTCGCATGTTTTGGCGCCCCATTTGGTAACGGCCAACCCCAAGCAACTTTCAAACATAAATGCCTAAAAAACAAATTAAAAAATTTAACGTAACCACGATACACAAAAACGTCTCGTGCGAATGTAAGTAAAGGCATTTTTTGGTAAACCCAATTTTCTGTTAGGTACTTATAGTAACTTTTTACCCTAACCTCATATTTTTTACAGCTTTCATAAGTTCTTAATAATAATAAAAATTAAAACACAATTGCATCGGAAACCCGCTTCCAAAGTGTAACAAGTAAAAAAAGCAGTTGAGACATTTTATTTTTACTTTGACACTTAAAGCGGGCTTGCAAATTTTTTTATGAGGCAAGTAATTAGTTCGATTTTTTCTAGCTAGGGATATTGTTTTGACAAATTAATCCTTTTCTAATAAATTAACGTACTAAACTGGTTTAATTTATTTAAAAATAAGCACTAATTTGTTTGTTTTACTGTTAATGTTTAATAGTTTTCATTGAATTATTGTAAAATTAAATATGAATAATAAAACAAAAAGTGAGGTTAGGCAACCAAGAAAACGCACGATTCTTTTTCTACGATTTAAATTATCTCCAAGTTTTAATTTGCTTTAAGTTTTCAGTGAAATTAAATGTTAAACACAGCTTAAACATTCCAAACTACCTATTTTTTAAATAAAAATCCAAACAAATTGAAATTAGATACGTACCTATTTATTAAACAATTAATTGAATTCAATGTAATAGCAAAAATCCATTTCTACTTAAATCATGTTGCTAGGTATTGTCAAACTATTACTGCTTCTAAAGGCAATAATAATTATTGTACATTTAATGTATTCTTTAGCTAATAAATAAATGAGATTCTAAAAAAGTGAGGTTAGGCCGCTTTGATGTTGAATTAAATTGATCTATATAAAGTGCTTTGAAGATAAAATGTTGTATGCCATTCGGCCAAGAAGTACCTTTTTGTGCTTTGCTAAATTCAAAACCTTGAGCTTAGCACAAAAAGCCTTACTTCTTAACCTAATGACATAAATAACTATTTTATAATTTTGTTACCTTTCACATAAAAAAAATGTAAAATTTGGTCTAGCGTAAGTTAAGTTAATATAATATAATAAAAAATATTTTGAAAAATTTTAATAGGAAGGTAGGAAATTTATTGTTGCTTAAGATATGTTAAATTTAACTTTCTCTCAACATTTCTTACAATTAATAATTCACCCAGTTACCGGCCAGCTTTGGTTCGCACAAGACGTCATACGGTGCGAGAGAGTTAGCTATAACATGCGTAACCCCAAAAAAAACCCTACCTGTGTATTATCGGCAACCCTGCACGGTTTCAACGCCTCCTTGCTCGCACCTTCGAAACAGTTGAAGTCTGGGCCGTGCGGCGTCATGATGCTGTGCAAGGTGGCGCCCCCTGGTTGAAACGCCCCCTTTTTGGCCTCGTACTCGCCCAAAATCAAACCCATGAACTCGGACATGCAATTTCTGTGGTAGTAAGGCGGCCTGAAGGTGTGTTCCTGCACCGACCATCTCGGAGGAAATATCACGAAATCCGCAATGGCAGTGCCTTTTTTCTCCGATTGACAGGTCAATACAGTGAAAATTGACGGATCCTGTAAAATGTCAAAATTTCCTTTTTGAACTTTTTAAACATCTAAACTTACACAGTGGTCAAAAGAAACAGAGTTTATGACCATAAACTTCCCCAAATCGTACTTATAGGGCACGTAGTTCCCATGCCAAGCCACCACATCGAACGGACTGTGATCCATGCGACAAACGAACATTCTCCCTTGATATTTGACAACCACCTCGTAGTTTTTGACGTCTGAATCCTCGTAGCAAGCCACGGGTGTCAAGAAGTCCCTGGGATTGGCCAGACCGTTCGCGCCTATTGGTCCCAGATCGGGAAGGGTGAAGTGCTGGCCGAAAACTTCGAGAATGTAGCCCATAGATGGCTCTGCAAGGTCGACCGTAAAGCGCATGCCCTGTTGTATGACAGCTATTTCGTTGGGTTTGACAGTCATTTTTCCGAACTCGGTTTTTATTGATAGAGTGCCCTTTTGGGGGACTGAAAAAGTTTGTCATGTATACTAAATGTTTGTGGGATTTTTTTAAAGTAGGTACAGTTCATTTTTTTTATCTGGTTTTTTTGTTAGGTTGGTAGCTTATGCCAGTTTGACTTAGTAGGTATTTTTAGTATTTAAAAATGTTACTTCTGCTAAAGAATTTAATTAAATACTTTGACACTGTCAAATTGACAATAATATTTATTATTGATAATTTACTTGTCAATTATAAATAAAAAGATAATTATGCAAAAATAATAGCAACGAATTCGAATGTAAAAGCCCTTTTGAGGGAAAAACTTCATTTTGATAAAATTATGCCAAATGCCTCAATGGAAGAAAAAGTACATCGCCTTATGGACATTTTTGGAGTAAAAAAGTATCGAATTTGGTTTTATAAATATTACATCACACATTATTTTCACATTATTCACCATTGGACAACATTTACGTTAAAAAAAAAATTAATTTCTTTTATATAAATTCTTTTCAAAGCGAAGATTATTATCCGCTAGGAATACTTTCTCTTCTGGGCCTTAAAGCAACCTATATTTAACTACTTTTTTATATGATTTTACTCATTCAAGCACCACCAAAGCCAAATTAATTGCATTTTTAACTACGAATTTCGACAACTCAACTTGACAACTGCACAATGTAACCTACAATGATTTATACATAACCACAATTAGATTTATAACTAGCTTAGATCGTTTTAATCAATGCGACCAACTTAACAACTGTATTTACCAACCAAAACCCTAAATTTGCAACGTTGCCGCAGTCCAGATAAAAAAAAACTTTACCTATAAGAAAATCTCCATCCGAGTTTGAGAAAGCACGATTTAGCATGTCGGTGTTACAAGAATAAACATGTATGGCTAAGCCATGTTTCAATTTTGGATCACCAGCTCCACAAATTGTATTAATGCCTTCCACAAAGTCCGTTTTTACTTTTGGAATGTCAAAAGGTTTCCATTTCAACTAAAAAAAATACTTAGCATTTGTAGATAAATTATTCATTGTTTACAGATTATTTAAATCTAATCTCAAGGCCTTTAATCTCATGATAAACTCTTACCTGATTTGGATCAGGATCTTCCTCATCCCAGTTACTGACAACCCCACTGTTAAAAAACTTTTCAAAAGGTCTATGTTTGACAGAGGGCCTTATCCTATACAACCAAGTCCTTTTATTTTCACTTCTGGGTGCTGTAAACGCAGAACCTGATAATTGTTCAGCGTATAGCCCATAGGGGCAAACTTGGGGTGAATTTTGCCCCTTTGGGAGTGACTCAGGACATCTGGGGTCTTCAGAAGAGAATTCCGAGTTAAAACCGCTTAAATACTGAAGTAAAAATAAATGAAATGTTTACTTAATATTTAAAAAATAAAAATACCTTTAGATTTTCCATCTCAACTTTCTTTAAACTAAACGTTTGGAAACCAAAGAAGGTATTAAGTATTAATATGTAAATTATATAAAACTTGTTTGAAAACTTAATAGTTTAATTAATTTAAATATTTTATAAACAACTCCTGATAATTTACATACAAGATTTTGTTATTATCATATGATTATAGATAAACAATTCTTGCTGAGTAATAAGTAAACAAATGTTAATTCGTTTGTAGCAAATAAAATGTTGAATTATTATTATTATTACTATTTGTAAAACTGTATGATGGTCATCTAGTTTTCTGTAGTTAAACCTTAGCTTAAAGATACCTTAAGTATTTTTGATAAAAAATGTACCCATTTGAAATTTAAAAAAATAAGGCTTTTTTCAAATCATTTTAAAAACTGAGGAATTGATGTTTTTTTATCAAACAAATATTCAGTAATTTTTTTCTAAAAAACATTTTAGTTTAAAAATAACATTAACTTTCTTCTTAAAAAAATATTCTATGAAATTTTTTATTTAAAAAAATATTTTTTTCGAATTGAAAAAGGTTTTCGTTCAATGATGAAAATTTTCGAAAAATATTTGCAAAAAACTTGATTTTTAATAACTCGAATTATTATAACTTCTAGCCCTACCATTGCAGTAAAAATGTATTTTTTATTTTTATTTTCGCGTTCCGAACAAAAAATTGGTATCGAATTATAATTCGATAAAATAAAATAATAAAATAATTATTTTTCGAAAGTATTAATAAAAAAAACATTAAACTGTCAAAAAAAATTCATCCAATCACTGCTAACTCGTAAGTTGTCAATTATTATTTAAATATTTAAAAGAATATTTGATAACTAATGTTGTAAAATTCTTAGATACCTACTAAAAATAATAAAGAATTATAAAGGAATTTGAAAAAATAATTTTTGAAGTGTTTTTAGTTAAGTTATTTTCCACAGATTTTTAAAATTATTTTTGTTATTTTTGACAATTTGACGTCGTTTGGGGGGAAGTGAAAATTTTTTCTAAAAAAAGTTAAAAAATTACCCTTTTCACCACCATCAAAAACTTACCTTCCCATTATTTTTTTTCAAGTTGATGAATAATCTTCAGAATGAAGTATTAAAAAAATACACCAAATTAAATACTACTTCCATTCACCCCATTTAGAGGGCCAATAAAAAATCTTTAATTAAAAAAAACTCAACTTTGTTAGAAATTATTTTATTTCACTGAAGAACCAAAACAGTCTTAAATAGTGAACAGATTTAAAGAGATTGTATGTCACTGTACGAGTTAAAAAAACATGTTAGCAAATTTAGACTTAACTTAGCCGTAATCTAAAAACTTAACAATGGGGGAACGTACAGAGAAAAAAATGAGGGGGGGACACGAATGATTGAAGAAAATTCATAAATAGCGGACTAACACAAATTTTTCCTTAAGAAAATCATTATTTTGTACACAGTAAATATTTTACACTGGGTGGCCCAAATAGAAGCGATAAAAAGCACGACAAATTTGCGTTTGTTGTGTTTTTCCCGTGCATCGGACCAGTGCAGTGGATCTTTAGATCCGTTTAAAATAAAAAATGCCTTTAATATATTAATAAACATTGAGTATGTAACTATGACATGCATAACCTACGGTTTTTATGTATATTTATATTTTTTTATTTTTGGTCGCCGTTATCTGCAAACCTCAGTACCTCAACAAAACAACATGTTCAATTTTTTATGGGGGTGTGTGTGGAGGGGGGGTGGCCCCCCCAAAAATCGACGTTCAGGATTATCGCGGTTTTTGAGGGGGCCGCGGGGTCCCGCGCACTTGGAGGGGGGACCGTTTCTTTTATGCTACACGATTTAACAATTCTAAGCGGATTTTTTTTTTGATATTGCGATTGACATACATTATAATAATTAATAAAATTACAAGAAGTAGTCCGGAGTCCGGCGGGTGACGTGGGGCTCGCCGCGTCTTGGCGCAGGGTCGAACTGAAGGCTGAAAAAAAATAGAAAAAAAATTCCAAATATGTCTTAAAAGTTTCCATCGTGACAATCTTAATGGAATCAGATGAATTATGGATTGTTAGTCCATCTTGCTACAGGTCAAGCTAAAATTTTTTATTTTTAAGGAGGCTTTGACAGTACCAACTTGCAAAAACAAAATTAACTCATTTTATTACATTTGATTTTAAAACAGACAATTTTCTAACTTATTTATATGGCACTTCTAGAGGCATAACTGCATATGAGATAATAATCATTAAATCTTCAATGTCACGTTAGAAGATATGCATTAATTAAAGACATGTTAACCCACATCTCATAACATGACAATAAGAAATTAATGATTTTTTTTCTACGCAACTTAAATAATTTTTTACTCGGAAACCAGACGGCCAATCTTTCTAAAACTTTGCAAATATATTTTAAGTAGACTTAACTACAAACCTAGAATTTTTTCACCGTAAGTAAAAAACAATGTTTTCTCCTAAATTATGATAATTATAAAACGTGGTATATTCCCAAGCTAATTTCATTAAAATTAAATGAATTGTATTAGGCTGTAATTTAATTATTAACCATTTACATTTACGTCACAAACTAAAGCAATTACTTAGTAATAAGTCAAATTAATTTTATTGATTGCTCGTAGCCGCTTACAAAACGAAATAAAATAAGCAATAATTATTAATATAAGTGCATTTTGGTTTTTTCCTTATTGTTTAAACAAATATTTATAATTATTTTATATAAAATTTATATTTTAAAATGTGTTTACGAAATTCTTAAATGCGTTTAAAACATTCCAAAATGTAATTTAAAAAAGTATTTACGTTTTCTTTAACGTGTTTAATATTCTAAATTGTATGTTAAAATGCGTTGTAAACATCTTTTTAGTATGTTGAATTTTGAAATTTTAATTTTTGTTTATGACATCTTCAAATGTATTTACATTTTTAAATGCGTTTTCAACATTACACAATGTGTTTTTGAAATTTTAAAATGTGTTTTTACATCTTAAAATATGTTAACGAAATTCTTAAATACGTTTTAAACATTCCAAAGTGTGTTTTGGAAATTTTAAAATGTATATACCTACGTTGTGTTAACGACATTCTTAAATACGTTTTAACATTTCAAAAGTTGTTTTTGAACTTTTGAACTGTATTTTTAACATCTTAAAATGTGTTAGTGAGATCTTAAAATATGTAAGTGACATTATCAAATGCGTTTTAAACATTGTGTTTTTATTTAATTTTAAGATTTATTTGTAGGAAACATGGTTTAACGACTTTGACATGTCAAAATGTGGTTTTTAAATTAAAAAAAAAAATGCTTTTAAAACATTCTTTAACGTGTTTTACATTCTAAATCAAGTTTTGACAGGTTAAAATGTGTTTTTAAAATGTATTTACGTCGTGTTAACGACATTTTTAAATACGTTTTAAACATGTCAAAATGTGTTTTTGAAATTTTAAAAAGTATTTACGTCGTGTCAACGAAATTCTTAAATACGTTTTAAACATTCTAAAATGTGTTTTTGAAATTTTAAAACTGTATATTTAATGTCTTAAAATGTGTTAGTGGCATTCTCAAATGCATTTTAAACATTCCAAAATGTGTTATTTTTAATTTTAAGATGTACTTACGTCGTGTTAACGAAATTCTAAAATATGTAGGTTTTAAACATTCCAAAATGTGTTTTTGAAATTTTAAACTGTATATTTAACATCTTAAAATGTGTTGGTGACATTCTTAAATGCGATTTAAACATTCCAAAATGTGTGCTTTTTTAAATTTTAATTGTAGGAAATATTGTTTAATGTCTTTGACATTTCAAAATGAGGTTTTTAAATTAAAAAAAAAATGCTTTTGACAGGTTAAAATGTGTTTTTAAAATTTTAAAAAGGATTTATATATTTAATATATTTTTAACATCTTAAAATGTGTTGGTGACATTCTCAAATGCGTTTTAAACATTCCAAAATGTGTTTTTTTAATTAAAAGGTGAATTGGTAGGAAACATTCTTTAACATCTTTGACATTTCAAAATGTGGTTTTTAAATAAAAAAAAAATGCTTTTAAATCATTATTTAACGTGTTTGGCATTCTAAATTTTTTTTTGACAGGTTAAAATGTGTTTTTAACATGCTTAAATACGTTTAAAAATGTTCTTCTTGCTTTCGAAATTTTTGAAATGTGCTTTTTTAATTATAAGATGTATTGGTAGGAAACATTGTTTAACGTCTTTGACATTCCAAAATGTGGTTTTTAAATTTAAAAAAAATACGTTTAAAACATTATTTAAAGTGTTTGGCATTCTAAATTTTGTTTTTGACAGGTTAAAATGTGTTTTTCTACGACCACTATGTAAAAGTCACTTTTCATGATGGCATCGTTGCTTAGAAAATGAATCTTTTCATTGGCAAGGCAAAACACGAATGTAAAGTGACATTTCTGTATGAAAAGTGACAGGTCTGTGTGAAAAGAACCGGAAAGCATCGTTTGACATTCAGCTGTCAAAAAAGTTTTTAGGTTATTTTGTTTTGTATTTAAAAATAATAAAAAATAAAAGGGTCGCAGAAAAAACATTGTGTTATACTTGTGAGAAAAGCTTTCTTCAAGCTCGTGTTAATGCACACTCGGCCTAACGGCCTCGTGGGCAACTTAAAAAGTCGTATGAAAAAGTCGCTTTTCAACACTTGTAAAACAAATAACTATTTTCTACAACCACTATGTAAAAGTCACTTTTCATGATGGCATCGTTGCTTAGAAAATGAATCTTTTCATTGGCAAGGCAAAACACGAATGTAAAGTGACATTTCTGTATGAAAAGTGACAGGTCTGTGTGAAAAGAACCGGAAAGCATCGTTTGACATTCAGCTGTCAAAAAAGTTTTTAGGTTATTTTGTTTTGTATTTAAAAATAATAAAAAATAAAAGGGTCGCAGAAAAAACATTGTGTTATACTTGTGAGAAAAGCTTTCTTCAAGCTCGTGTTAATGCACACTCGGCCTAACGGCCTCGTGGGCAACTTAAAAAGTCGTATGAAAAAGTCGCTTTTCAACACTTGTAAAACAAATAACTATTTTCTACAACCACTATGTAAAAGTCACTTTTCATGATGGCATCGTTGCTTAGAAAATGAATCTTTTCATTGGCAAGGCAAAACACGAATGTAAAGTGACATTTCTGTGTGAAAAGTGACAGGTCTGTATGAAAAGAAATTGACAGCATCGTTTGACATTCATCTGTCAAAAAAGTTTTTAGGTTATTTTGGTTTGTATTTAAAAATAATAAAGAATAAAAGGGTCGCAGAAAAAACATTGTGATATACTTGTGAGAAAAGCTTTCTTTAAGCTCGTGTTAATGCACATGAAAAAACAAATAACTATTTTAACATGCTTAAATACGTTTAAAAACGTTATTTTTACTTTCGAAATTTTTGAAATTTACAATGTTTTTAAAATGTCAAAATTTTGAAAAATGTAACAATCTGAAATTTTTAAAAATTGCTGTGCGGAATATACCAAAAAAATTCTACGACCGAAAATTAAGTTTACGTGTCCTGACGTTTTCGTGTTATTGGCGCATTAAAAAAATTAACATTGTTATGTTGCATTAAGTACAGAAAACGTCAGTTGCTAATTTTGTTGTGAATTTAAAAAATTGCTGTTTGCATTTTGATCTCAAAACACTTGATTTCCAAATAAACGGTGATAGAATACTTGAATACTTACAAAGAATACTTGAGGGCGTCATCGAGTTCCATGATGGCGGCCTGGTTGCCGCACCGGTAGCAGTAGTTTGGCGCGCTGAAGATGGTGACGACGTTCCGGTCGTGGCACCAATTGTATCCGTCCATCACGAGCTGATGGGCGCGAGACACCAGGGTCAGGCCGTTCGAGTGGTTGAACGTCTCGGAGATGTCCTGGCCGAAGGTGTAGCCGGCGCCGCGGGGCGATATGCCCCAGCCGCCGCGGTCGTCCGGATCGGACCACAGCAAGTCGCACATCGGACCCTCGTGAGGAACCTTTAAAAAAAGTTTCTCGATTGTACTCAAACGCTCGCGAAATTTCATCAAAATCGCTCTATAAATGACGAAATTATGCAAATATTACAAATTGGCGCCCAACTTTTGCTAGGGTACTACGATTTTATTAAAGTTTATTACAGTGTTTAATAAATAACTGATTTTATAATTATTCTTTTAATTTAATACAAAATGCCTATACCGTATTTTCATTTTACATGTAGACGGTTTTTAAGAGTCGGCCCGAGAAACGGTTTTCGTAATTCAGCAGTAGACCCTTCACCGGCGTTGGGTGATAGTCGAAGTTTGCTCTGGATTATTAATACAAATTACGCAATATTAAGTTAATTTACTTTTAAAAAATGATTCAGACACTTAAAATGTAACGTAATCACTTTTAAAAGTAAATTATTTATTAAAGGTGTAAAATCTTTATTTGTTTTGCATTTAACTAAAAGTGTTTTCTTATAAAAAAAACGTTTTAACACAAAAAAATTCTCTTTAAGAACTAAAATAATTTTGTGACAAACATCTTTATATTTATCAAAATTACCATTTAAAAACCATACAATTTTAATAACTTGTACATTATATAAAAAATAGTAACAAAAAAACTAGGTTTAAAAGTATTGTACTATACTATACAAATCTTCAACATGTTACAACTTCAAAGTTGTAAATAACCCAAAAAATAGATTTAGTTTTCAGCTTAAAAAATGTTAAAAAGACTGGATGATGTCAAATTATAAACTGTAGTGGAAAATATTATATATTATTATAGTTTTAAGTTATGTACTGGACCTATGTATAGGTAATTTATTACCTCCAATAGGCGGAAAATCTATTTCTGGTTGTTAAATAAATAAATAAATTCTCTTCAAATTATTATTTTAACAAAGCTTATTTTCAAACGTTCCCCCAAATTATGTCAAACAATGCAATGAGTAGGACATATAGCTTTAAATTTTAAATAAAAGAAGTTAATTTATGTTAAAACGCTCGAAATACACAAAAGCAAATGCAAAACATAACTGAATCGTCGCCTACGGCAACCCGCTTACAATGGGGAGGGGCGTTCGGGTCCACTCGGGTTTACTCGAGTGTATATATTTCAAATGAAAATACGGTATACATATATATTGTAAAACAAAAACGTTAATTGAAAAACGTACTAAATAGGATTTAACGCGATAACATTGCGAGTTTATAGCACTGTAGGTAAATTTTCAACTCTTGAAATATCACAGCTAAACGCTCTGACACGTAAACATAATTTTTGGTCGTAGATTCCAAATCCGTGTTACTTTTGGTCAATTAACTTTAATTTTTTTTTATTTATACAGGGTGTTTCCAATATCTTTGAATTTTGACCTGATACAGCTAAATCAAGTATGGATTTGTAATCTACGACCAAAAAATAAGTTTACGTGTCCGAGCGTTTCCCTGTGATATTTTTACATCCCTACAGTGTAGTTGGTTTCTATGGTAACGCTTTTCGATTTTGACAGTTGCAGTGACATTTCTATATGCAGTGTTATTTAAAATTTTAAAATGAATTGTGAAAACGAATTATTATGTTTTGTGATACAAATTAAGTATACTACAAAGAAAAAATTATTTAAAAAAGGTGTGGAAACCAAAATCCCAAAAATAAAGTCTCAAGAAGAGCAGAAAACAAAGATAAGAAAACCATAAATTTATTATATATTGTTATTTATTTTAAGTTAATATATATATAATATATATTAAAAAAACTTAAAATAAATAACAATACAATAGTGTTTTTTTAAAATAATTTACTTTAAAAACGAAATTATGGTAGTCACCAAGTAAATCAAACCAAATATCCCTAGATGATTACGTGTTCGTAATCCAGTGTTGCCGGATCTTCGAGACAGATTGATTATTTTGGTTGGACAGTCGTTTGTTATTGCAAAACTGAGCGGTAAAAGTTAACAAAAATATATATAGCACTTCTACAGAAATAACTGCATACAAAAAGAAACATTTTAAACTGAATTTATCTTTAAAAAAATCATACTTCTACAAAATTTTGAACTGGATTTTTAGAAATCACAAAGACAAAGACTGTAAAGGTGGATTTAGCCAGCATTAATTACATTAAATAAAAATTATCTGCGCATGCGCCAGGATAACGTGTCGTAGACAGCGCCCTCTACAATCTACATCAATTTGTTTAAGGAAATTTAAATTTTTAGTCCAAATTTCGTGCAAAAATGTTAAAAGTTATTTAATTAAATCGAAATTTAAATTTGACACACTATATCTTGGTTATTATCACATTTTGTACAATGGTCCACACCCAATGACTTTAATACAAATAATTAAGGTCAATTTTGTCAGTGTCAAGCTAATTTTCTGTAAATAATGCAATTATTTATTTATTTTTTATGTATGAAGGTCTTTATATAAAACACAAAAAATACATAATTGCAGGGCTCCCACGGCTAAATTACAGTTTTTTTTTAGGAATTTAGGAGGTTTTTTGGAAAATTTTAGGAGAATTTTAGGAGAAATAAAGTATGCAAATGAATTTTTGTAATTAAATAAAAAAAACTACATTGTACTTAAAAAAATAGGAAAAAAATAAATAAGTCTTTTTAACAAAACTAAAAAAAATATCTCTTTGATCCCCTATAATGTCGCCCCCTTTAACTTTTTTATTTTAAGTCTCCCAAAAAATTTAAAAGTGTGGTTATGTAGGTACTGAAAAATACTTTTTTTATGTATAAAAAAATTGGAAAATTGATCAGTATACAGGAAAAAACAAAAAGTTTATTTTTTCTCAATGGATCACCCTATATATGAATTTATTTTTCGATTCCTTGTAAAATTCTAAGCGTAATTCTTATAATATACCATAAACCTAAATACAAGCGTTTCTGAAATATTTAAATTATTTTTTAGATCATAATATTAATAATATTTTGTCTTTCTCTGTCTAAATACGGCATTTTTACTTACTTACTTACTATTTTAATAAAATAAATAATAAAAATTTAAAATCGAATAAAATCTGTAATATTTGAATTTTTTAAATAAAATTTTAAATTTGTCGATAAATTATAGTAGATAATAAATTGCACCACTTTAATTTGAATAATCCTTAATAGGGGGGCCTGGAGGCGGGTGAGGCACCAGGAAAAACTAACTTTTTTTCGCAAACTTCAATTTAAATTCTGTTTGCGCAAAACTTATTTATTTAATGTCATTATAAACTATTATAAATTTGGTTTGGGTCCCATGTCTAATAACTGAGATATTGGTATACCCAAAATCCACCAGCCGCCACTGAAATAATGGCATTAATGCACAAAATATAGGCGGTAATTTACTGTTTTAAGTTCAGCCACGACACGATATTTGACAAAAGTTCGTGTTCGGCTACAATCGGAACCGCTTCCACCAATCAGGCATCGCATTCCTAAAGAACGAAAGTACCTTTTTACATGTTTATAGTTTTGAGCGCCTCTTATTTTTGACAGTCATCACGTGTTAATAATTACTATCTTACTTAAAAAGTCGGTTTCATTAATAATATTAAATTTAAGTAATTAAACAGTCAGGTTGGCCTATTTATATTAAATTTTTAGGAGTTTTAGGAGATTGCCGGCCATTTTAGGAGAATTTTAGGAGTTTTCAAGACTTAAGCAAAATTTTATGAATTTTATGAGTTTTAGGAGGTGTGGGAGCCCTGTAATTGTATTATTTTTAGACAATAAGACAAAATTAAATTCCACTATTTTGCTCTTTATTATTTTGTACAGGCATTTTAGAGACACCTTGTATAATTTCTAAAATGTGCTTGTAATTCTAAATTATTTTACATTTTAAAATTTTGATACTCCAAAATGTATTAATGTAGGATTTTGGCGCTCAATTTAAAAAAACATTATTTTTAGGGTACCTATATAACACACCATTTTACATCAAATTAAAGTTAAAGAAAAATTGCATGTGTAGGTACTTTCAAATTTGCAAAAATTGTAAAAAAAATCAATAGTTAAATTCCTATAAAATTAATGAAAAAAACTAAAATACCATTAAAAAATGTCGAAAATTGGTATTTATTTTAAATATTGTTTATCAAACCAATTATTTGTAACAACCTATTATTGTATGACTAATAATAATTATAATTTAATTGATAATTAACTAGACAATAACAATAGGTAAAAGAATTTAATAAAGGAAAGATAAAAAATGAGGTTAAATGATATTTAGACAATAGTTACAGTAAATAATAACAAATAAATGCGCAATAAGCAAAAAAAAACAATACTTACTTCTTGTAGACGATCCAAAGCTCTAATGTGATCTAAAGTATCGATACTGGGGCTCAGGCCTCCATGTAAACAGAAAATCTGACTATCGACGAGGGCAGTTAATGGCAAATAATCGAACAAATCCGTGAAAAACTTCCAGACATTCGCGTTACCGTACTTCCTCAGACATTCATCGTAAAAACCGTAAACCTGTGTGATCTGTCTGGATTCGTGGTTGCCTCTGAGAATCGTGATTCTCTCTTTGTACCGCACCTTCAGGGCGACCAGTAATGTGACCGTTTCCACGGAATAGTAACCACGGTCAACGTAATCACCCATGAAAAGGTAGTTTGTGTCGGGGCTGCGTCCGCCTATTCTGAACAGCTCCATCAGGTCGTGGAACTGGCCGTGCACGTCCCCGCAAACGGTCACGGGGCATTTTACTTCCTGTACGTTGCTTTCTTTGGAAAGGATTTCCTTGGCCTTTAAGAAAAAACACCCTAAATGAGTCACTGATTTTCCGCGTTATTCCGGAAAATATCCCGGCAGAAACGTTATGTAAGGGATAAGTAATGTCTCTTCTTACCTTATCGCATAAAGTTTTGACTTGGTTTTCTGTAAGTTGCTTGCAATCGTTTAACTGCTCAATCCACTGATCTAGTTCCTTGCATGATGCTTTCTCGTCCATCGTTTCCGATTTCGGCTTCAACACGTTATAAACAGATTATTTATATAAAGCGACACTAATTTATTACGTCCTAAACTTATTTAACTACATAAAATATGTGTTATCAAATTTATTTTTTTTACAAGAGAACATAGCAAAATGGCTGATCAACCTCTTTACCCACACTCCCTCTAGCGTCGGCATTACGAAACTACTTCACCGCCAAATTTAAATTCTCTCAAATAAACGCATTCAAATATCAATACCTTGACGATTTTGTCCAATATTTCACTAGAATCTGAGCCATTCTTCCCCAAAGCAGACTTCAACATTTTTATCTCACCTACAGACTTCATTTTTGTGTATTTTTTCGGCTAAATTTGTTTAGGACAATTTTTTTGACATTTGGGATGTCAACAAGGTCAAATCATGTAAAAATCCTGTTTTTTACTTATTTTACCCAAGAAATGTTACTAGAATCCCTATAATTACAAAATAATGCATGAAATTAATTATGCAGTGCGTTTTAAGCTATTTAGACCTTAAATAAGGTTTAAAATAGATAAAATCGTTATAAATTATCCTGATTGGCTCCCACGCCTATCCAAGCTATCATTGGTCAAACAATGGCGCCACACTTAAAAAATCTTATTTGATCACTAAATAAACACCTATAATTAATAATAATTGATTAAATACCAACTTAAACCTTTCTTTTATTACTGGTCACACTTATAATATTAAAATTAGGTTTAATTTGGGAGGAATAAATAATTTAATTCGAGTTTTTGTTTTTGGGTTGGTAGCACTGCGGCAAGAAAGCTTACTTCTGTCACTTGCAAATATCCGCCAGTCTCTGTATCCGCTGTCTTTTTGATTCGACAGTCGTGGAAGACGGGTCTTCTCCGCATTTAATTTTATATTTCTCGACGAAATGTCTGAAACGCTGCAACTTAAAGGTACCCTTTTGGGACACAATGGCTGGGTCACCCAAATTGCCACCAACCCAAAATACCCCGACATGATCTTGTCTTCTTCTAGAGGTAAGTTTGGCAGTTGTTAAATTTTTAGGTTAGAAAGTTTAATCTTTGAATTTCTCGGGCATCCTACGAGATAACTGAGTTTTTCTTTCACTATATTTTAGAGGGAGTGGTTTTTTATTGATATTTATCGTGATTTTTTGCAGATAAGACTTTGATTGTATGGAAATTGACACGTGAAGATCACCAATATGGTGTGCCACAGAAGCGTCTGTACGGTCACTCTCACTTCATCTCCGACGTTGTTTTGTCTTCCGATGGTAACTACGCACTGTCTGGGTCCTGGGACAAAACCCTCCGTCTATGGGATTTGGCTGCAGGAAAGACCACCAGGCGTTTCGAAGACCACACCAAGGTTTGACAGATTATATATTTACATTAAATAGATTAACCTCCCGACTTTAAAACAGCTAGAAGATTTTTTGTTTATATTATTATTAATCTGCGTCAACGTCTGAAAATGAGAGGCCCACGTGCGACATTAAAGAAGAGTAAGTATTCGATGGGGCACCTTCCTTAAAAAGCACCCGTTCTGGTTCGAAATGTGACCGTGCTGGTTGTTGCAAGGAAGGAGATAAAAGTTATTTCTGGGTGCGGATAAAATTATATCAAAATTCTATTCCTCAATCTGATTTAAGACATTTTTACTTACTATTCAACCTCTACTGCTTGGTATCTTGATTTCCAAGGTACCTAGGCAAGTGGGCTGTCTCTTAACCTAGACACTTTGCCTACACCCAAAAGTCCCACTTTGACATATAAATATAAATAATTGAGGTTATATATCTGTCAGTCTCAGAAAATAAGACTAAATTAGCTAAATACTCTCAATTATTTGTATTTAAATGTCATTGAGGCTAAGGATGGTGCCTTGATTTCCAAGCCACCCAGTTGACTAGGTTGTCTTAAAACCAAGGTACATAACTGTATAGGTTGTCTGGTTAACGTAAAGCGTAGTTTTCTAGTATTTCGGCCATTTTAGCTTCGTTATCTGACAGGCTTTCTTATCTTAGGATGTTTTGAGCGTTGCTTTCTCCGTTGACAACCGTCAAATCGTCTCTGGATCGAGAGACAAGACCATCAAATTGTGGAACACTTTGGCCGAATGCAAGTACACCATTCAAGACGATGGTCACAGTGATTGGGTGAGTTTTAGTTTAAAAAAAATGTGTTTTTTTTGTTTGTACCTTCCTTAAAAAGCACCCGTTCAGGTTTATCACATGACCGTGCTGGTTGTTGCAAGGAAGGAGATAAAAGTTAGTTCTGGGTGCGGACACGATGTATTGCCTATTCTTGTTCCTCAATCTGAATTAAGACATTAACATTCTATTAGTTTGCATTTTTTTTTTTAAATTATCGTTACATTTTGAGATTTTACGGTTCACATTGTTAAGAGATCAATATTTGACATTTTGCAATTTTTGTACAAATGTCAAATTATCGAAATTTTAACGATTACATTGTTAAAATTAAACGATTTACATTGATAAGTTGTTGAAAGAACACAATTTAAAGTGTTTAATTGTGAAAAATTGCTGATTCAAAATGTTAAATTGTTAAAATTTGACGATTTACATTGTTAAATTATTGGAATTCCAAATGTTAAGTGGTCAAAATTTTGACGATTAAATTGTTAAAATTTGACGATTAACATTGTTAAATTGTTAAAAGGTAACTATTTAAAATGTTAAATTGTTAAAAATTGTTAATGTTGACGATATAAAATGTTAAATTGTTAAAAATTGACCGATTTACATTGTTAAACAATTTTACAGTGCTAAATTGTTTAAATTTTAACGATTTTAAAAGTTAAAGTTGACGATATAAAATGTTAAATTGTTAAAATTGACCGATTTACAATGTTATACTGTTGAAATGTTAACGATTCCAAATGTAAAGTGGTCAAATTGTTAACGAATTAATTGTTAAAAATTTTACAATTTTCATTGTTAAATTGCTGAAATTTAACAATTAAAATGTCAAATTTTTGAAATTTTAAAATTTGAGATTTACAATGTTAATTGTTAAAATTAAACGATTTACCATATTAAATTGTTGAAAGTTGACAATTTACATTGTTAAAATTGAATTTGTTAATAATTGTCGAATTAAATGTCACTAATTTAACATTTTAAATGGTCAATTTTTAATAATTTAAGATTGTACAATGTTAAAACGATTGTAAATGTCAAATTAATAAAATTTAACAAATTTATCGGTTTTATTGTTCCATTGAATCGGTGAGATTTTAAGAACAGTACGAGTCCAAAATTTTAATTTTGAATCGTTAATTTGTACAATTTAACGATGTACAATGTTAAAACGTTTTTAAATGTAAAATGTTTAAAATTGACGATTTAAGATGTTAAATTGTTGAAATTAAACGATTTACATTGTTAAAATTTTAAATGTATTTAACATTTATTTATTCAGATCAACATTTTTGCTGATTAAAATGTTAAATTTGACAATTTAACTTTGTAAAATCGGTTAATTTTCATTGTTAAATTATTGAAAATTGACGATTTAAAATATTAAATTGTTGAAATTTAACGTTTCTAAATTTCAAATTAATAAAATATGACATTTATCGGTTTTTATTGTCCAAAATTTTTATTCTGACATCATTTTCTTAAATCAATTTAAAAGTTTGCATTTTTGATTTTATAAAATAATTTGTCATAATTTTAACTTTTGGACTTAATCTCATATATTTGCAGTGTTAAAGTAACAGTTTTTATTAGTTCAGTGTTAAAATTGATCAAGTGTTAAATATTGAAGTCATACAATTCTTGTATAAATTACAATAACAGCTAATTTTGCCCAATTAAAAATATTCGGGCGCCAATTTTTACGATCTCCTGTTCGCAGGTATCGTGCGTAAGATTCTCGCCGAACCACGCCAACCCGATCATCGTGTCGGCCGGTTGGGACCGCATGGTCAAGGTCTGGAACCTGACCAACTGCCGTCTAAAGATCAACCACTCGGGCCACACCGGCTACCTCAACACCGTGACCGTCTCTCCCGACGGCAGCTTGTGCGCCAGCGGCGGCAAGGACTGCAAAGCCATGCTCTGGGACTTGAACGACGGCAAGCATTTGCACACCTTGGACCACAACGACATCATCACAGCCCTGTGCTTCTCGCCAAACAGGTATGTACAGTTTTAGGTTTTTTAGGTGTTTAGACCTTTACAGGGCTCCCACACCTCCTAAAATTCATAAAATTTGGCTTAAATCTTAAAAACTCCTAAAATTGCCATCAATCTCCTAAAACTGCTAAAAATTAAATATAAGTAGGCCAACTTGACTGCGTTTAATTAAGGTAGTTGTGCTAAAAAATTTCTTTTTTAAAAGTAAATTTTTGGGTTCTAGTTTATTAAATTCTTTTTAAAATGATATAGGTATCACAACCTACATTTTTCTTAAAAAACAACAAAATATACCATTAAACAAAATCCATGTAGTAGCTTCTAGACTTCTACAAAATTGTCATTTTTAGCCATATTTCGTTAATTTTCGACAAAAATATACCGTGTGATATATCAAACAAAAGGATTTTTAATTTTCTTTTAAATGATAGCTAAAATAGCAATAACAATCTAAAGAATGTTTTGCTGTATCATGCACTTTATATTTTTTCTATTATGAGATTTTTTAGTAACAATAACATTACAATTATTGTTAGTTATTAACTAAACTGTTAATTTTTTTTTCAAAATATAAATATAACATCATTAAACTTTGGCCTATTTTTTTAGCCATATCTATCGACGTTTTTTTTAAAATAAAATTAAAAGTGTGGTAAAATTTCTACTTGTAGATATATACAAAAGTAGTAATTTTACCTCACTTTTCATTTTATTAAAAAAAAACTCGTCGAGCGATTTGGCTAAAAAACTAGTCAATATAACCCATTTGTACAAAAGAAATGATATTTATTTATATTTTTGTTAAAAAGAATTACTTATTTTTTTCATATTTTTATTTAATTGAATAAATTCATTTGCTTACTTTTTTCTCCTAAAATTCTCCAAAAAACCTCCTAAATTCCTAAATAAAATTTGTAATTTAACCGTGGGAGCCCTGCCTTTATATGATGATACCCCTTTAACCACTTGATAAAACTATGAGAGGTTAGCGGATATGGGACTGACGCAATCCAAAAAAACTCCTGAAACCTAAAAAATTTACGCAAAACACCAACACGTTTTTTCTTTCATCAGGTACTGGTTGTGTGCTGCTTTCGGACCTTCCATCAAGATCTGGGACTTGGAAAGCAAAGAGATGGTGGAAGAGCTGAAACCTGAAGTGGTGAGCCAAAACAGCAAAGCCGAACCACCACAGTGCCTTTCCTTGGCCTGGTCCACCGATGGCCAAACCTTGTTTGCCGGATACTCTGACAACACCATCAGGGTATGGCAAGTCAGTGTGTCGGCTCATTAGGTTTTTAAGTTCTATGACATGTATGTTAAGTACAAAAATAAAACAGTTTTAAAATTTAAAGCTCTTTGTATATATTTATAGTTTTAAGTACATATAATATAGGTTGTAATTTATTTTTTTATTTAATAAAAAAAGTTAAAAATATTTAATATCTTTATTATTTATAGGTAAGTAGTAACAGTAGAATAAATTAGTTGCAATCAAAATGGGTTTTTTCTCATTTTCTCGACTTTTATTGGCTAAAGAAGGTAGGTAATAGATTACACAAAAGGTATGTATAAAACAAAATGCAATCCACAATATGTGTAAAATAAGAACATTTCTGTAAAATCTTGATTTGTAAAACTTGTATTTACAGAAAAGTAACTATAACTATCAACAGTCACTACCAGTAAGTATCTCATATTAACAATTTTAAACATTGAAAGTTTTTAGCTAATTTAAATTATTTTATAAAAAATGTGCTTCTATAGTACTACAATGGAGGATTATAAATTCCCTGCCTAACAACGGGAATAATGAACTCATTATTCACGTTGTTGGGCATCAGCGATTGGCCGATTTCAATATTGGAAGAAGGCGACTATAATAACATTTAAAATTGGTAAACAGTGAGGTTGACAGATGTCAGATTTTTTTATTTTGAAAATAATTATTTACTTATTTTATCTCGTATAATTAAATACTATAAAATCCTTTGTAAAATTGTTAAATGAGATACGCCCCTATGTGATAATTGAGACGATATGGGCTCTTTTCTTTCTTTGGCTTTTTTTTAAACTTTTTTTGTCTTTCAAATTTACTAAAATTCCGAAAATCTTGTGTTTTAGTCTGCGGAAACTTACTAAAATTTCTAGAACTTGAAAATTTTTTAAAATCTTCATTATACCTTTAGTAAGTCATCTGCTCCTCCTTTAATTAGTCTTCATGATTTTGACTGGAATAAAATATCAAACTATCTAATAAGTAACTAATAATTTTAGAATGTTTCAAATATAATTCCAATTAATTATTCACATTTACTTGATTAATTGTAATTTAAACGGTGTAAATCGTAGCAATCAATTTCCAATTAAAACTAGTAGGTTTGTTTACACAATAAATTAATTGGTTATGCTTGGTGTGTATGCAAGCAATCCAAGGATATTGTAAATAGCATGGAAATGCGTTCAAATATCAGTTTTATACAGGTAAAGTTCCTTTATAAGAGTATACGTTTTATTACGAGGTTATGATGTTATTTGTGCTTATAAAGGGTGTCCTAAATATAAGTACTAACCTAAACGTTTTTGTGAATTTTTAATTTTTTTTTCACCCAGACAAATGCTCATTACTTAAAAAAACTGAGTAATTAATGTTTTTTTTGTTAATTTTTCTATTTTTAACGAACTTTTCATATTTTATAAAATTTTGTAGTTCAAAAAAGAATATTTTTTCAAAAACTGACTAATTGAAAGTATTTTTACATTTTTCGTTTTTAAAAGTTTTTTTTTACATTTTTCGTTTTTAAAGGTACTTTTCAAAAAAAAAAAAAATAAAATAAAAAGTATTTTTTTTAAACCGAAAAACTTCATAGACCATGACTGAATACTTTTTTATTTTTTTTCTGGTATCTATAAATGTATGTATACATTGTACATTTAAAAACAAAAAAATCTTGATTGGTCAGTTTTTTAAAAAGTTTGAAAAGAAGCACAGCGTTTTTAGTGGGGTAGAAATATAAAAAAAATAAATAAAAAAAATATTCACCAAAATAAATAAATAAAAAAATATTCACCACTGACACAGAATGGAACGCCAAAGTATTTTTTAATCGTCAATTAAAAATATCACATTTGAATTTCAATTTCTTATAGGTATCACAAATTCAATTTCTGATATCAAAAATTAATTTGCGATATCGAAAATTAATTTTTGATATCACAAATTAATTTGCCATATCGAAAATTCAATTCAATTTCTTATATCACAAATTCAATTTCTGATATCAAAAATTAATTTGCGATATCGAAAATTAATTTTTGATATCACAAATTAATTTGCAATATCGTAAATGACTCGAAAACATCGAAATTAACAACTTATTAAATAAAAATATATTTTTTCTAATCCATATTATTTGTAATTCAAACAATTAAGATATAACATTAAAATTTTAAGTTTATTTAAATTATTTATACGGGTATTGTAAATTTTCAGTTGATAATTTATCTGAATTCTTAAGTAGACCTAATATTTTTAATTCTAAATAAAAAGTTTCGTGACAATTTTTTAATACCACATACAAATAGGTATATTGAACATTTTTTTTAATGGAATCTTTTTTTTAATTCGCCAATAAATAACTATAATATAATAAATAATAACTAAATAAAAAATATCAGTTTGGCATAAAAATTAAATCCTGTGTGTTTAACAAAAAAATACAAATATAAGAAACAGATATTTTAAATTCACTAAATTATTGTTATTATTAATTTGCATAATAAAAATTCTTAAGTGATATTTTTTATTTAATACAGGTAGCAAGACATCAGTCTATCACTAAACTTTTTAGCTATATTCTGTGTGAAGACAATTGTAGTAGTGCACAAACAACTTGAGCTATAAATTGCCGTTTAGGTGGAAAAGGTTATTACGGCCGAAATTGTATAAGGGCGCCACTCCACGCGGTCGCAACCTACAACAATTTCCAACAAAGAGACCTGGAGCCACGGCCTGCTCCGTACAGGCTCACACGTACACCTATAATACGCGACGGGTACCTAAAAATAGCGGCCGCGAGCGAAAGAGAGACGGGAAAACGCGCAACAGGCCAGCGAATGGCATCTATAGTAGTTTTAGTCCGACCGCGGGAGCCTCTCGTCGAATGCATAGTGTGCTGTGGCGCAGGGCGAACCAATAGGAGAGTTACCTTGGAATACCGCCGAAAAAAACCACCGTGTTGTGCGAAATAATGATTTTGAGTGTCGCCCGGTGCTTTATTGAGTGTTTGTGATGTGATACCTTGGTACCCGACGCTGTGGCTTCTTCTAGAATCGCAATGGAACGCTCGGAATGTGATGGATAGGTAAGCCGATGCCGATAATTGCAAAAATGTCATCTGTCCGATGGTAAATTATTTTTCCTCGGATCAGTGACTCTCAGTTGCCTGCGGAACACCATTTTTATCCCTGTCCCACATAGCACAAGACATTCCATGTATATGCATTTTAAGTACACAAAGTCCATTGGATATCCTGAATATGCCGGGAATATTCTTAGGATATTTAAATTGGTTATGTCAGCTAGATCCAAAAAGGTATATGTATGAATATCCATAGAATCACCCCCAATGTAAAAAAAACAAAAATGTCCACAGTGTATATGCAGAGCATATGCTATGAATATGAGCAAACATGATGGCAGCCAGGGTATGATTATTTTCAAATTACGCGCTAAATCTAAGATGGCTGACACCCGGCATTTGTACCATAGATAATAAATCATATAGATACGCCACTGTCACATATTTGACGCTCCTTGTTACGCACACTCGGCCCGCTATGCCGCTAGTGTACCCGCCTGACATTTATTGGTTTTAGGTTATGGTTTTAATTTAGGTTATCCTGTCAAATTTTGACAGTCAAAATAGTAAAAAATAAAAGGCCTGATAGTTTATTTAAATTGTTTATTTGAAAAGCAAAAATAAATGTATTATATTTTAAATTATTCAAGGTATTTACTACACTAAACCAATTAACAATATAATAATGAATACATTACAGCAAGTGAATTTTATCTTATTAAAGAACACAAATCAGTATAAAGTAATAATAATATTAACCACATTTGTGTAAGTACCTTGTTTTAATAAAATAGTTATAATTGAATAATACAATACAACCTTGTCATCATTGTGAAAAGTATGCATCATAACTTGACTGTTAGAGCAGCCCACAGCACAGCACAACACCATGTTAATGTTCAAATAATGTAACAATATATAAAAAATAGAGTACACAGATAACGATAAATCGCAATTATAAAAGTTTTTAAGCGTACAGAACAAACCAAATAAACACAATATGAATTTACAAAACTTTACAAAATTTATCAAACTGAAGTTTGTTGATTTCGTTACCAAGCAACCGTCAAGATTAACCGACGCTCCTGCCACATGCAACTCGAGTGTAAACTAAAACCAACGTCGACTAGACAAAAATGTGGATTTTGTTTGTTTAAGGCGAGTGCACAGGGCATGATTTGTACACAACAAATGGTTTGTGTGAACATTTTATGCCTCCGTTTTAGGCATTTTATCTAATTTTTCTATGATTTGTGAGTTGTGTTCAAGTTATTATATTTGTGGGCACTTGTTACGTGCGCTGACCAACTTAGAGGTAAGTAAGCTGCATGCTGAATATAATATTCATGCATTTTTATTAGGTGTATGTAGGTATCTTGCATTTTTATGCTAACCTTACTAAAAAGATTTTTTGGATTGTAGAAATTACTGACGCAACTACTTATAAAACTGTAAGGATAAGTACTCAACCTTAGGCATTTATCTCTGACCTTAGGTTTATGTACATTGTACAATATTGTGTGTTGTTACCGAAGCAAATTTTCTTTTATATCTAGTACCTACTGTGCAGGGTTATATTAGTAAAAAGTAAGGTTAGAGGCTGTTGATAAAAAGTAAGGGTAGAAGTTGTTATGTATACAGCTTTGGCTTTTGATTCTTTTTTTAAATTATATTCAAAGACACTAGAATATAATAAATTCAGCCTTTATTTTTTTACATCGTTAAAAAGTTGCGTTAACTGCTAAACGCTCATTTTAACGGCATTTTATATATTATTTATATGACAAATACTAATATAATGAATTAAAAAAGCCAAATAGATCTCCAAATATTAACATGTCGCCTCATGGTGACTCGTTGCCTTCATGAATCCTTTTTAAACTCATACCGCAATACTAGTGGTCTATGGGCCTCAAAAACGTTTTGGCATGTG